TTTTTTCAATCTCACTTGATGTTTTTGCAAAGACAGTTGGGTGGTTGTTGCAGAGCGGTTAGAGGAGTCATCCCGTAACCAGTGCGTTGCCAGTTCAATCCCCTGTTCCAGCTGTCTCAGTCATTGTGTCCTGCCTTGCCTACTGATGGTGGTCAGAGTATCCGGTGGCGCAGTATGGCAGCCTCTGTCAGTCTGCTGTGACTACATTGTATCTTCCTATCGTCAGTGTGTAGATGAATGATGTATGAAATTGTAAAACATCTTTGAGGGTTTCAAAAGCCACTAAGACTAATGAATTATTCTTATTTTTAGTTGAATCAGTGCAGGCCTGCTGTGGTATACTGGATTGGCACTAATTAAACTTGCACTATTTTATGATATCCATCCATCCATCCATCCATCCATCCATCCATTAGTTTCTACTTAAGTTGCAGGTGTTGTAGGTGCCTGTCTCCAGCAATCACTGTGTGTGAGGCAGGGGACACCCTGGACAGCTCATAAGTCCATCACAGCACCACATAGAGACAAACAACCACTCACACTCTCACTCACTTTATAGGTACAACACTATAGAGTTACCAATCAGCCTAACATTCATGTTTTGGGTCTGTGGGAGAAAACTGTTGCACCTGGAGAAAACCCATACAAGCATGGAGAGAACGTGACATCTTCTATGATAAATATGTAGAAAATCCGGTGTAACAAAGTGTTGAAACTCACTGTAACCACTGTCCTCCTCCTTTGTTCCATCAATGGTTCCATCCGCCTGCAGCTGCAGGTGGAAGCCTTGTCGACTGTACAGCTTCGTCACAATCCCCTTCAGCTGGGGCTCTGYGGAGACAGGAGGAGACACACACAGAGATGCAAACATGAAACTTGTGYTTAACTACTCCTCAATTTGTCATGTAAGCCTCAAAAACATAATTGTAAAGAGACCAAAGAAGATGAATAAATAAATATAAATTGTCACGTTTCACAAATTTCTCAGCTTTGAAACAATTAAAAATAATCAATTCAAAGTTGAGCTTCTTGTTAAAAAGAAGAACAAACATCTTATTGCAAATGTCATTTTAGACAGAATTTGTTATCTAATAAATAAATGCAAGTGTTTAGTTATAAAATGTTAAAAACTAATTTTATCTTTCCTGCTTTGCTTGTACAATCAGTGAGCACCTGAAGTGTCTTAGGCCTTTAATTTTTTTTTTATAAAATATGTGAAGCTGAAAACTCACAGTGGACAAACAAAACCAAAAGTTGTCAAAAAAAGACTCAGAGTTTTGACACACAATGRCAAAATGTCTAAGATGGTTGAAAACTTGTTTTGCATGTTATTCATATTTCTCTTCCCTGAATGCTATTTTATTTGCATGAAGCATTTACAGGAGCATATTCAGATTGCACACCAAATACTGTATATAAGCAAAAAACAAACAAACTGAAAATACTAATAAAATGTGGTAAATATTTTAACATTGCGTAGATGTAACGAATTGCAACAGAAAAAAAAATCCTCCTCTCAGGAGGAAGCAATTTATTCATATTTTCTCTTGTTTTACTTGGTGAAACTAATACAAAAATCCACAAAATAAACATCCTTTTAGTAGATTCATAATTTGAAGGTTATTTTTCTATCCTAAATCAAATAAGACTGTCATTTTTCCTGATAGCTTGATTCAGAAAAGGCTTAAAACATTGAGAGTAAACTCTCTGAATAATTGGATAATTCAGTGAGAAAGTACACACCAATGCCTTCCACAATGTTCTGATGTAATTCAGCAGATGTCATTGAAAAGCACATCAGGCAATTGCATCATATTAATCTTAATCCGATCAGGTTTGAGGTAAATGTCCTTTTGTAGATTTTCCTCTTAGAGCTGGACACACTGAGCTGCACCAGCAAAGGAGAGAAGTGCCTCGTTATGCTGACTGTCTCTAACGAAGGGTCTCTACCAGAGGCTAACCACACCTTTCAGTTATTTCAGCACCACCATTGTTCAATTMATTGGTTATCTTCCTGCACAAGAAGTATTTTCAGTCTGTCTTTTCAGTGATGTAGACATTTTGTTGCTTTGAATCATTGTGTTGTCATAGTTTGCCCACAAAAAAACTAAAATAAAAGTCAGTGGGCATCCTTCACTCGCATAAACCAGCATGGGTTCAAATACACACACAAACTAGCTGTGTTGTTGTTTTCTCAAGTAAGTAAACACTGTTTCCTCCACAAAATGGAAATTGGAGGCAAACAAGTTGCAAAAACTGCAATTCTACTATTATATAAACAGCTCTGACCACCAGGTGACATTTTTATAAAACATCTTTGATAAAAAATGATTTATGGGATTAAAATAAGCTGATAAAATACAGTTAGGTGCTTAAAACCAGGYTCTTATTAAAATGTAAGCCATGCAATGATCATGTTTTCATGTGAGCACTTGCAAAATAACAGAAAACAAAAAACAGAAAATAGTGACTACATGTTGTGAATTGATGCTATATAAAGAAACTGAACTGAATGGAAATTTGGAGCTGTTTGTTTAAAAGTGTCAGTCTGTCTTCATTATGAATGTATACAGAGCATAAAGTTAAAGGGATATTTYGGGAGCAGGTTCCATCATTTCCTGTCTTTTTGAAGAGTTGCTCATCGCCTGTTGTTGACAGTAATATTTAATTTGGTGAGATTTTTCAGATTAGATTGAATGAGTAAATAATTTATTCTGAAAAGCTAAGTGGCATGAACTGGACCAAAAATACAGTCATGATCAAGTGTGAGAAAACTCGTTTAAAGAAGATTAAACAACAGAATATATTTATAATAATAGTTAGTGATAAATCTGTTAATAATCTGACCAAGTCACTGAACAGACCTGGTCGTCTCCTTCTCCTCTTGTTGGAACCAAAGAGTTTGACTCGTGAGAAAACGTTCAGCCGGCTGGGTTTCTCACAGCTTCCTTTGGTTTTACTGGGGCTGCTGACGCAGCGGCAGGCGTTCGACTTCTCCCGCTCCCTCGCCTGCCTTTTCTGCCGGATGAGGGAGCTGGCGATCGCTGCTGCCATAGCCAGTTTGGCAGCGTTTTGTGGGGAAACAACTTCCAGAGAAAAGTGATTTCAGAAAAGTGGATTCAATAATAAAGAAAACGTTGAAGAGTTAAGAGCCAGCAGTCTGAGGACGCGCTGAAGAAAGAAGCTGCAAAGTGCACAAAAAGAGTGGAACGATCAGTCCCAAAGGTGCAGTAAAGACTGGATAATCATTCCTTAACAAATGTCTGCGTTATTTATGAGCTGCCCGCAGTAGCTCCATGAAAACAAAAGTGGAAAAAGACTTTCGCCAAAGCGCGTCGCGTGTTCTTCCAACTGGATCATTTTGTTGGGATCAGGGTGAAAACGCGCAGAAAGCCAGTCTTGGTTGGTGGGTTTCCATGATCCCACTGAACTACCCAGCCTCGCACATGTTCATGGTGTTGGTAGACAGTGGTGAGTGWCGCGCAGTGCCAGTCCTCCGGGTGGAAACACCTGTTTGCAGAAGCCCGGTGTGTGTTTGCTGCGCTCTGCCAGTAATCCCTCTGCAGACACCAGACCTGAGCCGCGCGCTGGAGAGGCAACGCATAAAAAACCACTCACAGAGTCCAGTTGTTGTTTCTTTCCGGTTATTTTTTGTTGTTGTTAAGAAGAAAAAGAAGCAGGAAGTGCCTCGTGGCTGAATCAGTAACCGAGCGCTGCACAAACAGAAAGTCAGAGCATCCCCCCCACCTACAAACCTGAAGGAGGAACTGCTGGGGGGCGGGGAGTGGGGCAGACGGACTGGAGCCTGTCCACAGAGCCAGTCAGTGCGTACAGTAAGGACATGTGCCCAACGACACACATAGGAGGTTTTATTAAATTAAATAGAAAAAAAGGGGGAAAAAAACGAAAAAGGGGGCGTAAAAGGAGCGGAGGCGGATGGGTGGGAGAGAAGAAAAAGTCCAAAACAGAATGAAACAACACATTTATTT